AACTTAGAAACTTTTAATTTATATTTGTTTAATAGCCTGGTTACAATTCATTTTATGACTGTGGTGAATTGCAACATGTTTTTTTTTTGTCTTGTTAAAATCACTCAGATTGTCCCGATTTKTGTTAAATATATGTAATGATATACTTTAGCCATCGTTAAGTACTAAAAATTTGTGATTCAAATATTAARACGAAATTGAAAAAGAACCTAACATTGTTGTTTCAAATATTTCAATAAAATTTACAACTCAAGAATATTTTYTATAAAAAAAATATTGTTAAAGGAAGATTTTAGCTATATTAACTGAACGAAGATTTTGAGATTATAAAAATTAGTAAGTTGATAAAACGTGGTGGAAATAATTCTCTGTGGAGGTAGAAATAATCCGATCAAGACCTTTTTTTTCAAAATATAGTAGTCATCACTACGAATTTAAATTTTTTCTGTCAAAAAGACTAAAATTGAATATGTGTGGACAATAATAAGCAAATCACTTATAACGTGTTGCAATTCACCTTCCAGCTGCAATTCACTTTATTTTATGATAGGTACAGTTTTGTCCATAGGTATTTAGGGTAACATAATATTATGATAATATATTTCTGTCACATACTCACATCCACATAACGCAATCATTCTTTTCATAAAAAACGATCAAACTGTGCACTGGGTTTTCGAATATATAAAATGAATAATTTGTATCTGTCACGTTAAAAAGATAAGTCTTTTTTGAACATCCTGAAAATATGGCTAAAAAAATGTTACCTATATGTTTGGATGACTTTTTGTGAAATTTATATACCAAACGATCACATTGAGTAATAATTGATTGAGTTATATTATCTAGACACCCATTTGATTATTTAATGATATACATTGGTAATCAATACTAGCATTATAAACTTATTTATCTAAAAATCTAATTAACTACCCGTACACCTTTTTGGGTCATTCTTGCTTGCATTTGTACTGGGTACCTTTAGCTATATGGGTATCATTAGCTATATTCATATTGTTACTGTTTGGAATTTGTCAGCTAATGAGCAGAATAAACTGGTATGCTAAACTAACAGATACCTATATAGATAACATTCATTTAGATTAAAGCTTTCAGAATGGAGAATTTATTAATTTATATTCAATGTAGTGTATAAAAGTTAAAAATACAGAGACGACGATAAATTAAATACCTATTTATTTAGTTTATAAAAAGGTCAGTTTGATTCAACGTCTATATAGTACAACTAGCACGAGTGCAATTTCAAAAGTTATTAAAATCGATAAAATACCATTATATAAATTCAAATAATTAAGCCAACGAGAACAAAATTGTTGGAATGCTTGAAAGACAAGGTAATTGTAATATTATTAAAATGTTGGTAATAAAAATAAAAATAAATCAACGTCCACGATAATGGTATTATAGTTGTAAAATGTTATTCGTTAGTACCTATAGATATCTAGATGCACAACAATTTAACACATTGTGATTGTGACATGCAATGTCTAATACAAAATTTTACCAACTTTTACCTAACAAGCA